ATTAGTGTGAATTTACTGATAAAAAGATTAATATAAATACAAAAGATACGCGCGCGCGCGCGCGAACACATACACGAATACACACGTATATATATATATATATAAAATTGGATAAGCATTAACATTTCTTGATAATGGAGTTTTAGAAAACATACACAATGTTAAAGTGATTTGTCTTACTTTATGCGTTTCCCCATAAATTATGTATAGCTAATTATGTGTATGCTTTGAATATTCGTTTTAATTATCGCTACAGATTATATGTAAAAAAATTTGAAAGTTGATTCCTCTCTATACATTGTCTTTACTAAATGTATGGAATTTAATGTAAGAAATGCTAAACTGTTGGTATATTATATACCTGTATAATATAAAGTGAGAAATAGACGCACCAATACCTTGGATCTTAATAATCACTTGATCTGTTAACAGTTACAAATCATAATGTTATTTAACGTAATTATTTTGTAAAATCAAGTGCTGATACATTTTGAGCCTCATGTAAGGAGAGCTGATATAGTGAAAGTTTTTATGCTGACAGTGTAATTAAAATGTAAGGTATATAATGATTTCAAGTTAACGTGGTTTGAATGGTCCAGGGTAAGGGTGGCATGCTAGGATAAAATTGTGATTGGAATGTATGGAAAAAAGGTATATTAGAACTCTGTTCTTTTTTAATAATCTCGTCACAAAATCGTGGCTGATAAACTTACGTTAACTCATTCATCAGAATAAACTGTGATTAGATTGAAGTCCAACAGAAATACAATGTATAATGTACTCCGTTTCATAGGCTACAGGCCTAGAAAGTCTGATTTTTTAACTACTATGAAAACTTGTGTATTATAATATGATCTATGACGTTTGTTTATTACTATGTAAAGTGACAAATTTCAAAATTAAACATTAATTACTGTTATTGGTTTTGCTTTTACTTTAACAACTTTAAATCTCACATTACGTTAAATGTACTTTTATTCGTTAGACATTGTATAGATGAAATTTAGATAAAATGGCCTAGTATTGTGAATAAAATAGAAAAAAACTGGTATTTCAGTAAATACGGTGGTAATTGATGTATTTGTATACAGATAAAGAGAACCATTTCTGCATGCAATTTTATTCAGGACATAAAGAAACTGCCACTATCTTTGTAATAAGAGACTGACAGTATCTTTACACAAGATGCAGATTCGACTAAAATTACGAGATCTCTAAAGTATTATTCCACAAAAGACAACAATTATTTGCATTTACAAACTGAAAATAAAGACTTCGTACGTTACAAGGAATCAAATCAAATTATACATATTTAATATCTATTAATTAAATATTTGAGATACATCAAACATTACCTCACAAATAGCATTACTTCAAAATTAAGTGAATAGTAGTTACAAAATTAAGTAAATATTACAAGTTGTATATTATGATTTTATAAATTATAAAATATCACAAATACTTTACTTGGTATATAACCAAATGTGAGAAAATTACAAAAAATTATTTTGGGTCATTATTAATATTATTTGAAAAGTAATGATATTCTTTTGCGAAATATGATGTCGATAATTAATAATGTACGATTATACTGTGTAATCACTTAAAACTTTATTGTCTTCCCTTATTATCTTATATTAATACTTCGTACGTTATTGATAGAATTTAACGTCAATTATTAGGTTTCTGTTTTCATTATTTAAGATGTGTTTGTAGTAGAATATAGCAACAGAAACTTATCACTTTGTCTAGGTATATAATTCCTAATATGTAAAAAACATCTACATATTTTATAGTATTTATTCATTTTATATTTAATTTTTTTATGTTATTTACACAAAATTCTGTAAAACAGAGAAGTTACAGAATTTTAACACAACCATTTAACAAGAATAAGTGAATTGTACTTTTCTTAGAATTTAAGTTTCTATTTTGATCAAAATGTGTAAAATTAATAGATAATATTGGACTTACATTAAAACCAATTATTTACGTACATTAAACTTACAATCATTCTTGAAGGTATAATTATTCTGTTACTTAAACAATTATGAATTAATAAAATCGAAAGTAGTTTAAATTATATATGCCAGGCTGAATAAATCGAAATGTTTCAAATTGAAACTTTAAGAATATTACATTTTTTATCGCATATGTGCAATGATTTTCCTAATGATTTTAAGCAAAGTATAAAGTATACAGAAATAACACAATAATACAACAATTTTTTTAAAGTATTTGTAACTACTATAATGACCATTTTTGCAAATGACTATAAAGGATATTATAAATAAATACAAATGGAATAATATAATGAATTAAACATTTAGTATCTGGAATATTACCAATGCATAAGAACACGACATGGTATACATATTAAACAACATTAAAATAACTATAAATAATTTATTACGTACATTTATAAACTAATTTGGTGAACATTCCTAGTAAGATCTTCATTTGTTAGTCTCTCGCGTATGATAATGTATGTAATTCAGTAATGTCATGTTATGCACGATGACAAAATTATAATTTGTATATAAGATTTATTTATCATACTGGGCACTGGACTACAATGTCTAAAATAATTAACAAATTTTCAGAAAGTATATGCAGAAATTCTGGGCTAATGGGTTTTTATTTGTACATTATAAATATTTAGTTCTTCTGCATGGTACGACACATATAACAAGAAAGTCTACGCGTAAGATTTATACAATTAATATTGCATATTATAATACATATGTGCATTTACATGTCGACTTACGTATGGAGCCGTACTACGTTAAACATGATTGTTTAAGTTTGAATAGAAAATACTACAACAAATGTAATTGTGCTCAAATGAAGAAAAATTAATTGATGAAAATATGTTACGTCACGAATGATGTTAAATAAAATTTGATCAAAATGATCGAAATAGAATCATGCAAATGTTAGAATGTAGTAATACGAAATACGAACAGCGGTTGTTTCTAAAACATCTGAACATTTATTAATTGATCAGATATACTTCATGCAATTTCAAATAATAATTATACATATACAATACTTTTAATAAAGCGTTAAAATTTATATATTCTATACAGATGACACACTCTTATCTCTCATATATACAGATCGTGTTAAATGTGACATGAATTACAAGCAAGAAATTAACATACATGCAACATATTTTGTTGTAATAAAATTACTTTATATATTTGGGTCCAAATTGTTTATAACATAAGTTACAAAGATATGATCTTCAGTATAATTTAAAACGCTTTTTCAGTAATATTAAATGTTTAACTAAAGTAACAAATTATGACTAAAAAAATTCAATGTCAATTTAAAAATCATTTTTAAATTATTTAGGAACAGCATTAAAAGATAATGCGATAATTCTTTTATTTGGTTCATTAATTGGTTGGTCAATTACATTTATTATATTAAAATATTCAAATATTAATATTTTGTATTCTTTTCAAATGATAAAAGATGAGAAATGTTCTCGTTAATTACACCGTTGCTCCTGTAATACCTGTAATACGTGGTAATACCATCAGTTACATATATTGCGGACGAACTCGTTGTACGTTCAGTGCCTTTTTACATATATTTATATGTATGTAAAAATCAATTGATCTTTTTATATTTATCAATATCTTCCAATTTTCACGTGAAGGAGTTCGCACGATATGAAATAATCTGTCGAAAAACTCTTATATTCCCTGCCGATCAAAACAGAAGATAGAAAATGTAAAACTTAATTGAACGTTGGTTTATTATGTGTAGATATGAGTACACGGAATAAGCCAAATTTGAATTAAGAATATTTACGTATGCATACATACCTACATACATACATATATAATTTAGCATTAGTGTGCTTAATTTAAAGTGCATAATTTTTAAAGGTACACGCATATTTTTATAAATTTCGGTATTGATACGATGGTTTGCTATATAAATAAATAAGCAAATAAATAAATAAACAAATAAATAAATAAATATATATATAATATAAATATATACAAAAATGTATAGAAGATATGTAAGGATATATGCGATCTATGACAAATGATATATACATGATATATACATAGTTGTATCTTATAAAAAAAATAAATATGAAAAGAAAAGACAGGAAGCTATATGTATTAGCTATACATATTAACTCATGGCGCAGCGTATAAAACGAAATTCAATTACACGCATACTTTTATGTTTGATGTGTGAACATTTTCGATGTATCTGTAATCATATATTTGTACATAACAGGTTCATTTGTTGCGTCCATTATGTGGTTAGAAACTACTTTGTACATAATATAAATACACAATAAACGAATGAATAAATAAATAAATGTACCAAACTTTAAAAGGTAAAGATATATATTATTTTACTATTTAATAATTATAAATTATTTTAAGAACTAAAATAAATAAATATATTATGCCGATAATGTACGAAGTATATTAATTTATTTATTATTTAAGTTACTTTTTAATAATTCTATTTTTTTTCTATGATTTCATATAATTAGTTATACTATTTACACTATAAAAATCATTATTTACACTATTCTATATGTTTAACGTTTGAATTTATTTACTTCAAATAAATAAAAAATAAAATATTTAATAGAGTTAAGAAAATTCGAATTCAGTATTACGTTGATTTAAACTAGTTATAAGCCAAATATCCCAAGAAATTTCCATTAAACACTTTAATGATGTTTAGAAGTGTTAACATTTTTAAATTAAATGTAATTTGTATTGAAGTCTTTTATTGAAATCGGGGAAATAATATATTTAAAAAAATACTAATATTTTTGTCACATGTATTAAATTTTAATGTTAAATAAATGTCTAATTTAAAATCTTAATGTTAGTTAAAATATTTTAATTATTTGTACAATATACAATGTAATTAATATTGAAGTATCTGTAGATACTTATGTTACGGTCATAATATAAAATAAATGTAAAATTGAATCATATTGCACGGAATGTGACCAATAGCTGTCGTGTATCAAGTGATCTTGAGTTTAGAAGTAAAAAATGACATTTTGTACATATTTACTTGATTATTATTAACATAAATAATTATTTAACATTTTTCATGTATTGAATAGTTAAAAAATACTACTACATGCTGTAATTTTTGTAATCCAGTATACATAAACATAACCTATATTAAACATAATGATACATCTAACTGATAGTATTGAATAATATTTATATAATTCAAAAGTATAATAAATAAATGTTAGTGGTGATAATGGTAAAAGATTATATTATGAATTTTATATTTTAGAAGCATTAATTGTTGTGTAATAAAATATATCAAAGAAATTAATACTGTGTTATAACTTATCCCTAATAATAATTTGCCTAACATTTACAAAATTATCGGTGTGTGTCAAATAGATTCCAAAATGAAATATTCTACATCACCACCAGTTAGTAGGTGTAATTCACCCGGTCCAATTGAGACAGGATCAAATTTACCTATGCCAGTAACTTACAGGTACAAAATGATGTGTTCAATTATAATATAATTTTATCTCTGGAATAACAATATTGTTATAAATGTGTTTTAGGCAAGATTGTATGGGTGCAGCAACAAAATGTTACAAATACTTAAGAAAATTATTAAAATTTGAACAAATGGATTTCGAATTTGCTTTATGGCAAATGATTTTTTTATTTATATCACCACAAAAAGTATATAGAAATTTTCAAAGTAGGAAACGTAAGTTCCTGTGTTTATAAGGTAATATCATAATATACTGTTATTACGAAAAATATCATTGTTTTCAGAAACAAAATCACAATTTGCAAGAGATGATCCTGCATTTTTGGTACTATTAATGTGTTGTCTATGCATATCTTCCATTGGTTTTACTATAGTTTTGGGATTAGGATTTCTTCAATTTGTAAAGCTATTATTTTATATGATATTCATTGATTATCTTGCAGCTGGTTTAATTGTAGCAACAGTTTTTTGGTAAATTTAAAATATATATTATTATTATTGTTATTATTGAAAATATGGATTATACGTTAATCTTATAAATTTCATGTATACATATATCAGACATACACATACACATACACATACATGTGTATGTATTTTTATGAAAAATATTAATAAAGAATTTTTTCCAATTTCAGGTTTGTAACAAATCGTTACTTAAGGATTGATAAAACTCAAGATGTAGAATGGGGTTATGCATTTGATATACATTTAAATGCATTTTTTCCACCATTAATCATACTCCATATCGTACAGTTATTTTTATATAATGGTAAAACTTGTTACTTACTTACTAATATAATTTCAATCTTTTTTCTTTTTTATTCCAATACTTTTTTATTTTAGGTCTTATAAATTATGATACATTTTCGTCGCGATTTATTGGAAACACAATCTGGTTAATAGCTGTTAGTTATTACATTCATATAACATTTCTGGGTTACACAAGTAAGCTTATATAAATTTAGTATTATATACTCATATATTATTCAAATAATTATAATGTTTTAATTCATAGAAAAAGTTAATAAATTTTTTATATTTATTTTAGGTATGGAAATACTTCACAAGACACAGATTATACTGACAACATTACCAATAATATTACTAATATATATTATGACATTATGTGCAAGTATTAATATTAGTTATTTAGTCATGGAATTTTATCATTATCGAGTTGTTTAAATAAAATTTGTTGTTTTCTTACAAAAATTGATTTTAAATTAATTTTTGATACATGCTTTCGTGCATCAAAAATGAATAAATTACGATTTCTATATTTGTGCCAATGGAAAATATTTACTAATTTTGAAAAATTATTAATATGATGTTTAATAAAACTTTCAAAGTACCTATTCCACTCCATAGAATAAAATAAACAAAACAATTGTATTTATGAATTTTCTTAAGCAAATTTTGTTTAATGATTATAGGTTTTTAATAATAAAATTTAATTAAAAGATGTCATTACCAAATATTGATAAAACTATTTGTATTTCAGTTAATAGAAGTGCAAAAAATGTTTGCACATTATTAGTTACAAACATTAGTTTTCTTAATTGATTGATGTTCTACAAATGACAAACAATCTCACGATAAACTATTATATCAATTATGTGTATAAATACTATATATAATACTTTTATATTGTTAAACAGTTCTTAGAATATTTCACTTTAAATTGATTCATATTTATTATATATAAAATAAATAATGTAAATTCTTCTGAAATACGAATATCTTTAACCCCTTAGTTGTTTATAATTGTTAAGTATAATATTTTTACAGTTCTCAATAATAATTATCAAGACATTAAAATTAATATTGAAAAAGTCAAAATCTCTAAAAAACAGTAAAATTATAATTTCTATTCGGTATATTATTTGTTTATAAAAGTTTTGGCTGCTGTTTTAAAGTCGAAATATCTAAAATCTTACTGGGACAAGTTGTTCTAGGTGTTTGATTAAATGGGAAACGTTGAAATGTTTTTGGACTATGTTTTGGATTTGCAAACTTTAAATCAACTTTTGAAGACCCTTCATCTTCTACTTTACTAATATCTGTAAAATAAAACAAAAATTTCTATTTTTAGTGTTATACATTTAATTTTATTTAATTTGAATTGTGTCGTGTATATTAATTAAAAATTATTTTGATTTCTTCTTTTACCTTCTGCTTGAATATTATTTTTTCCTGGAAGTAGTTGATATCTTTCTAAATAACGCATTGTGGCAAAAGACATGTTTGTACCTTGTACATTGCTAACCATTAGATGCTTAACAGATGTTGAACTTTGTCTTTGTACTGCTAATTCAGCAAGTTGATCATCAGTTAGATACTTTAAAGCTAATGCCTTCATATGCATACTTGTATTTGTCTCATTTACAGCACTTGTAGCTTGTGTCATGTTTGCTTGATAGTCCAAACGTGGATAAAATGATAAGTCAAATGCCACCCTTTTAAATAAATTATTAAAATTATATTAATATTTAATAGTATTAATTAAATTAATAATTTAATAATTTAATAATATTAATTAAATTTGTCTTATATGATATAAAATTTGGGCCATGTATATACATAATAAATTTAAATAAGCGTTAGTTAGATTAAATTATATAATTATTTAAATTAAAATGTAAATAAAATTTATTTCATGTATAAATTTGTTGTAAATGTAAAACATACTTGTTGCTGTTGTTTAATTCTTTAGCTTCTGAGTTTTCATTTAAGCTGATTCCAAGTTTTTTAAGTTGTTCTAATGTAGCTACTTTTACAGTATCTAATACTGCTCTATTTTCAGTCTCATCTCGTTCATTCTGATTTATTTTTGTTTGTTTTTGTTGTTGATTATCTATAATACAAGAATTTTGTAATAATTGATTTACTTGTCCAAGAACATTATTGTAAAATGTCCAGCCCACTTTTGAACTACGTTTAACTTTCTCGCTATCATCATCGCTAGAATACTCATGCATTTCAACATGAATACTAGGTTCAGGAGTAGGAGGTGGTCTTTCATTTATTTTTAAATCACCACCATTTAAAATCAGACTATCTTCTACGTAATTGGTTTGTTTTGATTCAGAAATTTGTCTATTTTTTCGGTAATCATTATAATATCCGGAATTACTTATACAATTACTTGCTTTTACAGAATCATTATCTTGTTGTTTATTTAGCTTTGTATCTTGATCTACAGTAGTCTTTGTTTTAAACTTTTGATTTTTTGGGACACTACATCCAATATTTGCAGCATTTCTTTTTATCATTGGAGTTTTTACAGTTTCATAGTCTCTTGTTTCTTCTGTACAACTTTTTAAATGTTTCTTTACTTTATCTTCAGTTTCGTTTAATTTTGTTGTTGCCCTTTTATATAATTTTGGGGATTCAGATCTGTGGATATCTGTTTCTTTCCGTATATCTATATAAGCCTGTTTCTCTAAATCTTTTGTAGAAGTACTTGCATTTAAGTTACTGCTTTGTTGTTGACTAGATGACATGTAACTTTCTGAGTCCTCAACTATATTTTCTAATTGCGCACTAGGTATTCGAGTAAATGAATTCTTATATCTTCTTAATGATTCATTAGTATCATGAAGACCAACATTACTACACATTTTTAAATTTTCTTGTTTTTGTACGCTATCTTTTTTTTCATAATTCTCAATATCTACTGTAAAAGGACTATTTTGTACAGTGAATTCAAAACTTGTCATTACACCAATTGAAACTTTCTGTTCCATAAATGTTTTTTTTGATTGTGCATCTGTTAATATTAATTCACTTTGATTTATATTATCATTTTCATTATAATTTTCTTTCTGTTTGGGTGATTCTTTTGGATACATATTTCTTTCTGTATTTTTTGGAGCAGTGACATGATTAGAAACATCTAAAATATCATTAGAATTTGTATATAATTGATCACTTTGTAATCCTGATTCAAATGAACAAGAACATCTTTTTCTTTCTTTTAAATTTTCTTCTTGCATTTTCAATAATCTATCTACTTGTGTCTGTAATGATTTAATTTGCTCATTTTGACTATTTATAATCTGTAATAAATTCTTTACTGTTTCTTGATTATCGGTATTGTGAGTAGAATAGGGATGAAGTTGAGGAAATGAATATGCATTCATATTAAAATAAGGATACTGTTGACCTAAATAATGTGGTAATTGAAGTTCATTTCTTTGCAATGTATTTGGATTGATAGATAAATTCTGTACATTTGACTCAGAGATTGAGTCATTATATGGTACTTTCTGTTGTTTGGAATTGTGAGCTGTTAGTTTCCTTTCATATAACAATGGAGAATATTCATTTTCTTTAATAATATAATTGTCAGTATTTATGCAAGGTTTAGTAATAGGTGGCATAGCAGATACAGAATCTACATGTCTTATCTTACTTTTACATTGGGACCTCATACTCTGTTTTTCTTCTATTTGTGTTGCATTAACGTCAGGCATTTCATAATTATATTTACAAGAAGAATCATTGCTTCTTTTAGTTGTTCCTTGTTTACACTGTGAATAATTATGAATATCTTTTTTCAAAGTATAATTTTTTCTTTTAGATTCACTTAAGGTATTTGTAGTATTATCCTCTGACAGATAAGAGTGTACAATATAATTTTGATTAGATTGTTCTTTTAAAGAAGTCGTATAATCATTAACTTTAGTAACTGGAGGTTTCCATAAACAATTCTGTTCTTTCCAAGCTGCATATGATCCATTAACATTTAATGGAGAGGAACTGTTATTTTTATGTATTAAGTCTTTGGATTCCATAAATGATGAATGAAAATCTGTACATTTCGTAGTCTTGCAACTTAAAGGTTTATCAAATATTAAAGAAACTTCAGGAACTGATGGTACTGTAAAACACTAAAATTAAAATATATTAAAAATAAATTAACGTATATCATAAGTATATTAAAATAAATTGTTTTTACAATAATAATTAATTTTAATTAAGATATTAATTTAGAATGAAACATATTATATAACGAGATATATTATTAAGATTTACTAATACTTTTACATTATTTAATTAATTTTTAATAGTGGTATCAAGCCCTAAATCTTCAAAGTTTATTGACATGTATCTTTAATGTCTATGATTTAGTACTAAATTGCTTCTTATGAAATATTTACAAAAATATAAGTGAAATAAATATTCTATTATTATATTAAATTTATTATCATTATAAAAAATCAGATCTATTATATCTTATTAATAATTAGTCAGTAAAATAATAGTAAAATTGTTCTAATATTATATAGAAAAGCTTACATCCAGTTTAGATGCAGGTTTTGGTGTAATTCTCGGTTCAAATTCATCTTCATCACAGTAAAACATATTTCAATCTAAACTAATAATTGTAATCTATACACATTCGTTTGTATTCATTAATTTTCACACGTATATTGAAATAAATAATATTATCAATATTATTTTATAAACAAAAAATTTTCAATAGAAACTTAATAACTTTTATAGCTTCATAAATTTTTACTTATTTTTTAATTCATACTATTTCTTAGAACAGTTCTTACTTAAAATACTTTTGTTTCACTGGAAACTTATTTGAAACAAATTTTGTAACAAATGATTCGAAACAAAAGTGCAGCCAACATAGCATATCAAATTCTAGTGAATAAAGTATATATTATTTTAATATTATTTAAGATTAGAATGCGTTCAAAATATCTATTATTTTTTCAATTTTCTTAAATAATACAAAAAAATAAATACAAATTAATTGCTTTTCGTTTTAATACTTCAACCAAAAATATAATTTTAAATTTACCAATTTCCGAATTTCTTTCCAATACATATTCTAATGTCATATTTTTTTATTATATTATTTAATACATATGTTTCTATGAAATTATATTATATAATATACATATTTTTACTTTATATATTAATGGATATGACTAACAGTTATACATTTGACATATATTTTTTTAAATTATTTTCCTTACTACAAAAGCTAATACGTAAATAAATACTTTATTTTGTATAGTGACAATATTGTAGTCAATAAATATAAATAAAACGAAATTTTATATCATATATTTATTTGTAAATACAGTTATAATTTAAATGGATATTAAACAGCATTAGTATTATCACTTTTTTAAGAAAGTTATTTTCTTTTGGTACTCCCTCTTGTATCTGTTTTACCAGGTGAGGATTAATTGAATATGTGTGTATCAGTATGTATAGGATGATATATTGCACAGTGCACCACATTGGCAAATAACTGAAATTTTACAACATAATATTAGGCAAGGTATAATAAAACAAGTTTCTGATAAAGTGTAATTATCACCATTAATTAAAAAAGGAATGAATTCAAGGATGATTAAAAAATACTATAAGAATACATATCGAGATCATTAGAGTGGCGTGGTATTTTAAATCTATGTCAGAGTTGTTTGACCTGTGATATCTTAGGATTTAGATATCGTCGATTCTGAAATTTATCCGATATGTATCGAAGTTCAGCAAAATTTTATTTGTTATAGGTAATTATAATATCTTTCAATGTCAAATTATACAATAGTACTGTATAGTATAGTGAATTAATATACGGACATATGTCCTGTACGTGATATGGGTTGTGATACTTTAACAAATTGTGAAACACACGATTAATCTTTCGATTTACAATGCAAAAAAAGAGTAGGAACTCATAAATATTCATGCTCGTTATAAGTGAGCAGCTTTTCCATACCTATGTTCCGTAGACATTTTGCATAATTGTTTCCTTTTAATCTGTTAAAAATTTGTTGGTGTATAGAAATATTTTGTTGTTTAATACTAAATATCTGCTAATAGATTTTCCTACTGAACAAGTGTATGTGTATATTAGAATTAGCCCAGATATGCTTGATTCTTTTTATAATATTTTTCAAAATATCATTTTTCCTCTATTTGAACTTTAAACTCAATATATTTATTTCTTTTTTTATTTATTATTCGTTGATTAACCATACAAAATATACTTTGTTATTCTTTTGGAAAGATAATAAACATATCTGTGTTAATATTTGCCATAAATATCATATAATCCATACCTTTTTCTAAACAAATTATTATTAATAGTCTCAACTAATTTATGGAGAAGAACAAAAATTTTATAATGTTCCTACCTTATACAACATACACCATATTGGAAAAAACAAAATTGTGCTTACAGAAAGCCTAATTATTCATAATATAAGGTTTGTATGCAAAAGATATGATATAGGTTAATAACAATTGAAGATAGAAATTAATCTAATAAAGTGTTTCATTTTTAATTATGTATATTAATGGATTTTTAGATTTAGTTTTTTCTCTGTTATGGTGGCTGTGCAGTTAAAACAAGTGCCTTTTTTATGTGAAAGTATTGCCAATGAGGTACTTATAAGAATGAACATTAAAAGATGGCAATAATTTATTTTTGTGCTTATATCCTTAGTATTTGATAATTATTATAATGGTAAATACATATTAGTTTGATTTATATTTTTATATTAATAAGATAGGCATAGTGATTTAGTTTACATATGGTTAATCTATTACTTAAGACATGACATTATAGTTACCTAATGTAAAAAAAATATAATTAATATTTCAAATAAGTAAAAATATTCATATTATTGATATTTGTTAAAACCTTGAGATATAATTATTTAATTATTATATTTAGGATATATCATGACATGATTCTTTGGATATTATAATTAATAGAAAGCATATTCTGAAAGCAATAAATACAACAAAAAAATGGATAGTTCAGAGTATGAGACTGTACGAAATATGACACTTTTATTTTTTCTGGAACTTCTTGTGGAAAAAGGTGGACCACGTACATTACATGATCTAAGCTGCCAGTTTGGAGCAAAAGGGTTTACAAAAGAAATGCGTCAAATAGCTGGTGGATCACAAAGTGGTCTTAAAAAGTTTTTAGCTCAATATCCAATGCTTTTTCTTATTAATGATGATTATGTATCAGTAAATACTTTTCAACAAGTTGTAGAAGAAGAGAATGGATGTAAATTAGGTGGTAAACGTGATTATGCTCGAGAGGCTGTAGAATATTTTACAAATAAATTAATGCAGTATGGAGTTGGCACAGAGGTACCAATAAAAAGTCTTCTGGGACATAGATCTCAGGCTTCTCCAGAAGTTAGACATATTTCTGGTCAACATTATAAGGAATTTAGAGATTTTCTTTTAAAATATCCTGATGCTTTTGTAGTTACTGAAGACAATGTAATTTTAAAGCAATATGAAGGCATGAAGGCAGAACCTTTTGTAGAATTAGAACCAGACATACCTATAGATCCAGAAATTACTGCAAAGTTATTAGATTTTCTTTGCGAGTGTATTAAACAAAAGGGTTCAATCCTTGTAGATCAAATGTTTAATATAGTTAATGATAAATTTTCTTATGAAAATTGGACTCCAATATTTAAAACATCACAAGATTTGTGTACATTTGTCAAAATGTTCCCAGATGTATTTCATGTTCAAAGCAATTTGGTAACTTTAATTGGAAGACCAAAATCGTCTAAGACAGAAGGGCAAGCAAAGACAAAATTTGCAAATTCTACACGAAATCAAAATAGTACTGCAAGTCAAACAAATTTAAATCAAGATATTCAACCAATTAATACTCAAGCATCTCAACAAACAATTAATTCAGAACCTGTTAATACCAATGCTACAAGTCAAATTAATTCTATACAAAATTCTCATTCTCCATCAGTTGAAAACAGTAATAGCTCTCCTCCAATAAGTTTGCAACAACAAACTTTAAAACAAAGAATAAATACACTCGTAATGAAGACTTTAGCAGATAATACAGAAAAGGATAGAAGCTTACAGACTATGCAAATGGGAGATGCTTGGAAATTAAAAGTATTGCAACAGACCAGAGTAATAGTACATCCAAGGGAAAGTCTTCAAATTATAGAAGATATAATAAATCCTCGTAAGCCTCCGCCTGATGGTAAAATTGTTGTTTCATTTGATTGTGAAGGAATAAATTTAGGAATTAAAGGGCAATTGACACTTGTACAAATTGGAACTATGTCTGGACAAGCATATGTGTTTGATTTACTTGCTTGTCCTAATCTTGTACAAACTGGAGGCCTTCAAAAACTTCTAGAACATAAAGATGTTATTAAAGTAAGGAACAACATTCAAAATTTTATTTGCAAATTTTTGTATACTTTATAAATTTATTTATAACTTAATAACTTTGTTTTAATTATATAAATATATGTATTGTTTTAGGTAATTCACGACTGTAGAAATGACAGTGTCAATTTGTACAGACAATTTAAAATTATGTTGAATAATGTTTTTGATACACAGGTATTTGATTCACAAAAATATTTCTCAAATATTTTTCAAATCGAGTAATAAAAATATGTGATATTTGAAGAATAATTTATTTTTATATTTGTAGGCAGCTCATGCTGTATTACAGTTTCAAGAAACTGGAAAACCTGTATATAAAGTTAAGAATGTTAATTTGAATACACTATGTGATCATTATGGTGCTCCAAATAATCCATTAAAAGAACAATTCAAAAATATTTATCGTAATAATCAAAAGTATTGGTGTAGGCGTCCATTAACACGAGATATGCTCATTTATGCTAGTAGCGATGTTTTGAGTTTGGTCCCACAAATATATGTCTCCATGTCTAGGTACAGTATTTAATTATAAATTATTTATTGAATGATATTTTCAATACATGTATGTAGGATCGGTATTTGGGTGGATTGACTTAAGATAGTATTGTCGGCTTAACAGAATAAAATAAGCTTATAAATAGAATGGCGGCGGCTGGCTATGAAACAAGGGAGGTTTGCTATGGGCACGCTCTTCTGATCTTTCTTAAAACTGACTCGTATAAATTGACTTCAGACTTTGACACACTGAAAGCAGGCTGCAAAAAAGACTGACTTGGACTCTTAAAGATTGACTCGCCCGCGCCCTTGCACCCTCATTTAAACCATTCATTCTGTCCTCTTTCATACCCAGGCTTTCTTTCACAGTCATGCCCTTTCCCACGCAATTTCGGTGGGCCAGATACTTCAACCATTCTGGACACATCCCTAAATTTTCACTCGACTCTACCATAAATATTCTTTGCAGTCAATCCTCTTGCACGCGGTCATTTTCGTTCTAAGCCCAAACATTCTTGACATTCTTTCAGGACCGTACTCATTCCAGTCCTACATATATAGTAGTTTACTCTTCACAGTTTATTTAAAAAAGAAAAATAATTATATAATATTTTTTATTGAAGATGTTTACATAAGTTGATTCAATAAATGCGTAAGTTAAAAATGTAATATCATTAATTTTGTCATAGATATGCAAGATGACTTAAATGAAGTGTGATAAGCTATTTCTTTAGAAATCAATAACAATATTGATTTCATTTTCTTTTTTTAATAGGATGGTCATAAGATCAAACTTTTAAATATATAATAAATTTTTCTGGATTAATTATTATAAAGAAAAGGAGCATTCTCATTTTTGTCAAATGGAGTATGATACTAATTTCTTATTTTTTAAATTAATTTTTGTTATTAAGACAGTTTTTATCAAATCAAATAACATTAATTTAAAAAACAATTTTCTAAAATAGAACCTCAGAAGCATCACTATTTAATTTAAAAAAATGAAGTCAATATCTTTATCAGTCTCTAAAAAAACAGCTTAATATTTTATTTAGATTGCCCTGTATATAAAGTTTGATTATCCTAAGAAAAATATATGTGATAATTATATTTAGGTTACTGTTTGTTAATTATAATCATTTCCTTTGTTTTAAATATTGTTAGACTTATAAAACCGGAAGTACAAGTTCTTTTTAATGAGCTGTGTGAGGAACAAATTCAACTACTAATTAAACCTGCAGAAGTAAAAGCACGAAAGAAACAACGAAAAGTGGAAACAGAAGTTGCAGATTTGAAAAAAAGGATGGAAGAAGCAACCACCAAAAATATTGTTTTAAGCAATCGTGAAATTCGTCTCTTGCGTTATCTTGACCTTACTGAAGATGAAAAGGAGAAATTGAAGGGTAGTTACAAAGTTGCAAGAAAATTAGAAAAACTTGAAAATATGGGTCAAGATAAAGGAGACAGCAGTGACGATGACGATGATGATAAGATTGAAGACTCAGAGTATCACAGTATGGAAAGTAATACTTCTGAAAATTCACATTCTGGTAAATCTTTTTGTAGTTAATAATTTATATCATTTAATAACATTAATATGATTTCATATATTAAAATATTTTTACTTACAGGTGTTATATTGTCGCCGAGGAATTCTGATACCCCAAGTCTCACAGAATCAATGCAAATGGTAGATGAAATTCTTTCTGATGGGCGGATGGACAGATTTGAAAAAATAGAAAAATTAGAAGCTATTCTTTCAGCCGTTACTAGTTCTGCAACTGATCAGTTCTCTTCAAGCAGTGCAGATGTATCTCCGGCGAAATGTATATGCTCATGTCGGGATAAAAGTAAAAGTCCACGATCAGATCGTAAGACCGAAAATAGCGTACCTTGCCAAACATATAGTACAGGTGATATAGTAATTACCAAAATATTTCTTACGGAAGAAGAAAAGGAACGTATAGATTTATTAAATTCGCCAAAAAAGTAGATATGTCATAGTTATTGCGAAAGTGGTAAGGAAGAAAGTTGCCATTGTTAGATTTTTACGAAAAAAATGAGCGGGTGACAAGACAGAAAAATCTAGTTGAAAATTCATCTATTTTATGTAGTTTGACGAAATCGTAATATTGAACTACAACAATCAGGTAAACTAATTCTCGATACAATTTTTTTCCAAATCTGATGCTATAGTAATCAGAATTTAGGAAAAATTTGTTTCAATGAAAAAAATTCAGTATTGTAAAATATTTCTTTTTTAGTAGATGATTATCTTTCTTTTCAAGAGTATAAGAAAGAATAATCGAATTATATATTTACTAACCAGAATATTTGATAAAATATTTTTTCGAATAATTTATGTTACTCCTCAGGATTAAAACACTAATGTTGTTCCTCTGTAAAAAGATATAAACATTTAAATGTTTTAATGATATTTTTAAAACAAAACTTTATTCACTTTTTAAATACAAATTATTTCATCATGGAAACATAGAATTACATTATATGTAGGAAAATATAATTTTCTATGTAAAGTGCTGCATTAAAATCACTGTCTTACATAATTTGTTTTTTCATGTATCTGCATACAAAATTTTTAGTTTTATTGAAAAATATTTTTGATAATATTCACTTCTAATAAAAGTTTGTGCAAATATACAAAAATTATTAATGAAATTAGTACAAATATATATAATATTCATGTTTTATATATAGAATGTGTCTAATTTTTTTTAAATTATATTTGTGCCAAGTTATAATATATCATTTATAATCAGTATAATAGAGGATGGACGTTTTTTTTTATTGATAATAAATGAGACATAGGAAATATCCTATTAATAAAGATCCATTTTAAGAGGAAAGAAAATTAATTACAAAAAACAGATAAATGTGATAATGTTAAGATTTAGCTGCTTTTAATGCAATACTTTTCAAGGATGTAGTATTTCTATTTAATTTTTACATGTAAATTGATGTATCTTTTAATTTCAGAATCTATTTAGAATCTTATTCACCTTATTCAGTATAAATATATAAAATTGTTTGTGGAAATGCTTATTTAAAAGAGCTATAAAATATGCAACCATGAAATTTTTAACTATGCAATATTTAGCTAATGATAATTTTAACAATTCTTTTACATTATTTTTTTTTATGAGTAGGTAGTTGGATAGAAAACTATATAAACTTTGTAACACAGGCTATAATTACAGTACACCTCAAAGTATATCTTTATCATGAAATGATTTTAAATGATACAATCTTTTATTCTATAATATGTTCTTTAACAGAAATATGCCTGTTAACATTATATTTATTATCACACATACTGATGTAATATTTTGTTTTTTCTTAAATATAACATTGACCAATACAATATTAATGGTAACAATTAGATTCAGCTGCCTTATTTGTACTAATGCATTTAAGTCATTTTAACTAAAAACATACTATAAATCGAAAAAATGACGAAACTATTTTATCAAAAATAGTAGGTATTGTTGTTATTAACAAAGATTAATTTATTGCATTAAAGATTTAAAGAATGTGCATAATAAATTTTATGAAATAAACTAATGTGGTTTCTTTACACGAGATAAGTTATGAATAAAAAATGTTCCTGCATTCCATCCTTTATGTTTTTAACTAGAGAATAATTGATAAGATGCTTCAATATTTGTATATCATAACATATTCTGAAGATTATTATTCTGTCTTCAAATGATGTTATTTACGAAATATGTATTATATTTTTTAACTAATTATTTTTACATGTAAATATAATTGTACACAGATATAAATCTGTTCAAATCAGATATATTTAATTGTATTTATCCAAATGAATTATGAGTTTTTATGAAAATGGTTTAGTATTTATATAATATTTCTTAACCTATTTATAACTAAAAATATATAGTCATGTTTTCTATTTATTTGAATAATCTTTCCATGAACATTTTACAATTATAAATAGATCTTATCATGTTCTAAGAAATCATTCAATAGCAGTGTTTTTTATCAATTATTAATATATTTTATTATGCTTGTAATTGTTTTTTTCAGCATAAAAAAATATTTTATGTGGAATATATTATATGTAGTATATAATGACGCAAAAAATATATTAATAAATTTCAATAACGAAAATATGATAATATATTTTTGCAAATTTTATTTATTTTATAAATGCATTTGAAAAGTTAATTTCCAGTTTATAAAATATCTTATCTAATTATTATAAGATAACATTTAACCTGTAAAACTCCCGCGAATTGTAAGATAATATAATGTTTCTGATTTCATATGCCCATTCGTAAACGCGTGTGCACATAGTATAATGTAATGTGTGTATTGTATATTTTAATATAATGTGATTGGAGATTATTTCTGGGTCACGCACTTATTAAACCTATTTTGTACTTGCAAATACCGCTAGCATTATTTAGCGTATCATTATTTTGGTTAAAATTTAATATCTTCAAAATAATATTTTTATAAGAAATAATATCATGTCTGCGGGAAATTTAGGTGAGTTAAAATTGAAATTATTAAAGAAAAAAGAAATATAGAAATAAGGTGTATGGATTCGAGATATAATTAAATTTTTAATATTGTCAATTTGATTACCAAATATTGGACATTAGATATATTGTTTATTGTTTATATTATGATAATTATTTATTGATATTGTAGTTATAGATATTTTGTAACATATGTAAAAATACCATTAATTAAATTTTTTATTTAATAAATTAAAAATCGAATAATTAATATATTTATGTTATGAAATGAACTTATTTTCTTTTATTTTGTTTACTATATTTACAGCATTATTAAGTGTTTCTGACAAAACAAACCTTTTACCATTTGCTAAGAAATTGCATAAACTAGGTGTGCCTTTAGTTGCATCTGGTGGAACAGCAAAATTTTTAAGGGATGCTGGTCTTCCAGTAAAGGATGTTTCTGATATTACTGGAGCACCTGAAATGCTCAATGGGAGAGTTAAAACTCTTCACCCTGCTGTTCATGCTGGTAGGTAAAACCATATATTTAAATTTATTTATGCTATAAGTACTATATAAAAAATTTTTTTATTTTGTAGGCATATTAGCTAGACTCACGGAATTAGATCAGCAAGATCTTCAGAAACAAAATTATGAGCTCATTCAGCTTGTAATATGTAATTTATATCCATTTGTAAGCACAATTGCAAAATTAGATGTGACAGTTGAAGATGCAATAGAAAACATAGATATTGGTGGAGTAACTCTGTTACGAGCTGCTGCTAAAAATCACAACAGAGTAACAGTTATTTGTGATCCTAGTGATTATGAAAAAATTGGGAATGAAATGGAATTATCTAGTAAAAAAGATACTTCTCTAGAAACTAGGTATATATTTTATTAAATAGTAATATTTAATATATTATATTAAGTAGTAAATATTTAATAAATTTTAGAGAATATAGTTTTTTACGTAATTTCAATTCATTTTGTTTCTTTTTTCTTTCATTTTGTAGACGAGTATTAGCACTTAAAGCATTCACTCATACAGCAGAATATGACGATGCTATTTCAGATTATTTCCGCAAACAATTTAGCAGCAAGGTGTCTCAATTGACATTGAGATATGGGATGAATCCACATCAGAAGCCAGCACAAATTTTTACTACTCTGGATAAATTACCATTGACAGTAATAAATGGCTCCCCAAGTTTCATTAATCTCTGTGATGCATTAAATGGTTATCAATTGGTAAATGAATTAAAGGGAGCTCTAGGTTTGCCTGCTGCAACATCCTTTAAACATGTTAGTCCAGCTGGTGCAGCAGTTGGAGTACCATTCAATTTAATACAAGCAAAATTATGTCAAGTAGAAGGCTTATTAAATGAACTTACACCACTTGCAACTGCTTATGCACGTGCACGAGGAGCAGATAGAATGTCAAGCTTTGGAGATTTTATAGCATTATCTGATATATGTGATGAAATTACTGCTAAAGTTATATCTAGGTAATATATCATATTAGCAAATGAAAATAGGACATAAAGAAAGTATTCATATTTATACATTTATAAAAAATTTCAGAGAAGTTTCCGACGGCATTATTGCACCCGGCTATTCAAAAGATGCGCTTAAAATATTGAAAAAGAAAAAGAGTGGTACATACTGTATTCTTGAAATTGATCCAAATTATGTACCATCTCAAATGGAACGTAGAGTTTTGTTTGGTTTAACTATGGAACAAAAACGTAATGATGCAGTTATTGATAAAAATACATTTTCTAATATAGTAACTAAAAATTTGACAACTGTTCCTGATTTTGCTATGAGAGACTTAATCTTAGCTACAATTGTTTTAAAATATACACAAAGTAATTCAGTATGTTATGCAAAAGATGGGCAAGTGATTGGAATTGGTGCAGGACAGCAATCAAGAATACATTGTACTAGACTTGCTGGTGATAAAGCTGATAATTGGTATATTATAATTTCAATAACTAATATTTATTGAATAAATCATAGTAATTAATATATCATTGTCAATGTTATGCGTTTTGAAGTTTAAAATTGTATATTATTGGTTGCTTCTTAGGTGGCTTAGACATCATCCTAATGTTATTGGTATGAATTTCAAGCAAAATGTAAAAAGAGCAGAAATTGCGAATGCTATTGACAATTATGTAAATGGTTCTATTGGAAAAGATATAGATGAGAAAGTTTGGGCAGAAATGTATGAGGAGATACCAGAGAAACTCAGTGAAAATGATAGAATAGAATGGTTAGAAGGAGCAAATAATGTTGTTTTAAGTAGTGATGCTTTTTTTCCATTCAGAGATAATGTGGATAGAGCTAAATTGGTATGTAAATTAAATATTCTGTTATGTTGTGTTTCTTTTTAAAGTTTAAGAAGTTATTATTTAATTACAGAGTGGTGTTAAATATATTGCAAGTCCTTCTGGTTCTGTCAATGATGAGGTAGTAATACAAGCTTGTGATGAACATAAAATGGTATTAATTCATACTAATCTGAGATTATTCCATCACTAAGTAGAAAAAGTGCAATTCAACTAACAATAATAATTTCATTCCAATAACAAATAAGTCAATTAAGAATATGTTTTGATCATCAAAATATATCAAATGTCGCTAAAAATCTCGAAGTAAATGCGTCTCTAAACCTTATATAAAAAAAAAATATATATATCAAAACATATCAAAACATTTCAATTAAACGTTCACTATAATGTTAAAATGTATTTGGGTATATGATAGAATTAAGGATTTATATGTAATAAAAAAAAAAAATAAAATTATTAAACGAAATAAAAATGTTTGTTAATTGATATTTTTAATTTTACATATTTTTTAGGAGTTTGAAAGTTATAATTAATATATTTTAATATTTGTATTTCGCAATATTAGATAACTTATGATATTTATTATATAGTATTATGTATTTAATATTTGGATTTTGAAATTTATATTCAATAGTCTAGTTAAGAATAGTTAATAACGTATTAGAATATGTTATAGAATAAACCATGATGTTCGTTCAATATGCATCAATGTGTATTGGACTCCGTTTGTGTTTTTCCTTAGGGAGAAAGTGGTGTTGTATTCAAACTTCGAATAATAAACAAAAGCGAATAAATTGTAAAAATGAGTAATTCAACTATTTCTGATCAATCGCTCATGGACAAATCTATGCGAAGTGTTTTCGGTGAGAAATATTACTTATTGTTAGATTAGTTTTTATTAATGATGATATCTCATAACCTTTAAATATGTGTGTTCCTTTTTGATAGTCGGGAATATCCCGTACGAAGCTACAGAAGAGAATTTAAAGGATATTTTTAGTGAAGTTGGACCAGTGCTTTCATTTAAGTAAGTAACTTTTGCATTTAAATATTATTGATTAATAATGAAATAATTATTATTTTCATTTTCACAATTAAAAGTTGTATTATCTTATAAATTATAATATTATAGTAATTTTTTATTATTAAATTTATCTTTCAAAATTTCTAATATTAAAATATAAATAATGTTTACTTTTTTAATATATTATTATATAAAACTTTGAGATATATAAATAATTACTTTCATTTCAAGTAATGTAAGTAATTGATGACATTTTTTACATATATCAAATTTAAAATTCGAATTTAATTCATTATCAAAGGTTTTTAATTAATTCAATTAGATTAGTGTTTGATCGGGAGACAGGCAAGCCTAAAGGATATGGTTTTTGTGAGTATAAAGATCAAGAAACAGCTCTTAGTGCTATGAGAAATTTGAATGGTTATGAAATTGGTGGAAGGACATTAAGAGTTGACAATGCATGTACAGAAAAGAGTCGAATGGAAATGCAAAGTCTTTTACAAGGACAAAACACTGAAAATCCATATGGAGAAGCAGTACAGTCAGATAAAGCTCCAGAAGCTATAAGTAAAGCTGTTGCATCTTTGCCACCTGAACAAATGTTTGAACTTATGAAGCAAATGAAACTTTGTGTACAAAATAATCCAAATGAGGCACGTCAAATGTTGCTGCAGAATCCTCAACTGGCATACGCTTTGCTGCAAGCTCAGGTAGTAATGAGAATAGTGGATCCTCACACAGCAGTTAATATGTTACATAAAGCAAATCCAATCCCAGGTGTATTAACACCTTCTGATAAACCAGCTGTGCATCCAGTTGTTCCCCGAATTGAAGAACCATGGGCTCCTACACGTCCAGCAGCAGTTACTAATACTCCAGCACCAATATTTGCTGGTGAGTATTTTAATATTATTTATCTCTAATAAATACTTTGTAAAGTGTATAAAATTTCATAAGAGAGTTTTATGACAGGACAAGATGTTGATTTACGTACATTAGACAGACAAATGGATCCACGTTTGGCTAGAATGGACCAAGATTTAAGAGGTCCACAACAAGTACAACCAACACCTGTTAGTGCATCTCCAGCTGTATCTGCCAATACAGATCCCAGAGGACTTAGTACATTTAATATTTCAGACAAGTTAGTATTTCTTTCATGTTAAAACAAATTTTTCAATCAATATATCTTAAGAATGCATTCTTTTTTACAGCACACTTCCTGTTGAAGGAGTTGAGAGGTTCTACAATTACTTTAGATAATCTAAAATCGAAATACTTATAACATCCTAAAAATTTGTCATTGTTTTCAGTTTCTGTCGTGATCCAAGAACAGATAGATTTGGTAGAGATCCAAGAGATCCTAGAGATCCAAGAATGCCTATTGATCCTAGAATTACAAAAGCGAATCGTAAGTTTTGCAAAATATTCGTTTCTTTTTCTTTTCTTACAATAATAAATATAGATGAATTTTATTGTGTCTTTATATTTTATTTATATTTTAATTAATTAATTTAATAATTTAATTTTGTAGCACCTGTACCAGTTGCACCTCCAGTGGTGCCAAGACCTGTTGCTGCACCTACTGGTCAGTCTTCAAATGTTGCTGCAGCTAATGCTGCAGCTCCTGTTACTGCATTGACCACATCAACAACATCTGCTACATCGAGGCTTATGGCAGGCATGTCTCCAGCAGGAAATATACCGAGCGGAGCATCTGATCAAGAGAAGGTAATTGGAAAGAAACTACATATAAATATCAGTCAATTTTATAGAAATATTTATGTTTTAAATTATTTTTAGTTATTAATAGTATAACTAAATGTTAAAACAATATTAATTTCATTATAGGCGGCTTTGATAATGCAGGTACTGCAATTATCAGATGAACAAATTGCTATGTTACCACCTGAACAAAGACAAAGTATCTTATTACTTAAAGAACAGATTGCTAAAAGTGCACAACGTTAATGTACTTCTAGTAATTTTCTTTTACAACAATAAACATTTAAATTTATAATAATGATAATAATAATAATATTAATAATGACGGTGATAATAAGAAGAACAAGAAGAAGAATAAACAAAAATATCACAAAGGTAAATGTAAAACATTAAAATTTCTTTTTCAAATTTTATACTAATTTATTGTTATAAATATCATAGTAATAAACATGTATTAGCATTTAAAGATAATTCAAACTGTCAGTTGTTTTCTGATTTAATTTCAAATAAACCTTCGTCAATAAGTGTATTGTAGATAACATTTTCACATTTTTCATCTTTATATAGCTCAACATTAAAAAATTCTTCATCAGTTTCCTAAAACAATCAATTTTATTATTTATTATTAATTATTACACATATATTATATAAATATGTGATTGATCAATAATTAATTACTTTAATTGTAGCTATAATACGTGTATTATATATTTTTTGCAATTGAGATAGTAGTTTATTGTAGTCTGCTGTAGATGCAACCTTTATGTTCCATAATTTACATTTTATTGCTATAGCAGGTATGTCTAGCCATTCCTTTTTTAAAGTATATAGTTGACATCTTTTATGTAAATAAAAGAATCACTTTTATATTAAAATATAATAATATATCAATATTGTAAAGCAGATGAATATGACTTACTGTTGAGAATTTACTTTTCTATATTCGTCGTTCCCATAATCAATATAAAGGAGTTTAACTTCAATATCATCTGAATTTATAATAGGTTCAGATTCTGTTATGAGACATCGATACCAAAGATCATCATGAAATTTTGCGCAACATGGTATATCTGTAAATAAATTTGAAATTATTTCAGTTCATAAGATATATAAATAATTGTTTTCTGAATTCCATTTTTGAAGTAATTATTATTTATAATTGAGTAGTACTTACTAGGAATAAGATTTGTAATCAATGGTTGTTTACATGCATTTTCTTGTAAGTCATTCATCAAAAATTCATATTGCGTATAATATGTATTTAAAATCTAAAATCGATAAAATAGTTAATTACATTCTAAAACTTTAAATAATATAATATAATAAAATATCTACTTATATTAGATAATAATGATAATTTCATTACATACAACAGAATGAGTATTTTCTTTTAATTGGGCATAGAATTCAGTAGGACTAATACTGCAACATAATTCTACTTCAATATAGTTTATGTTTTTTGGTATATCAATAATTTTATAATTCATTGAAAGATTTTCTTTAGAAGCAATGTTTGGAGTTGAAGTAATTATTTCGTCCTTTATTTTACACCACGATAGGTTTTCAATATCAGCAATAGTATCATTTTCATTCTCACTTGTAACATCTTTGTATAGAGGTAACACAGAATTTCCACTAATAATTATATCTTCTATTACGTCATCGTACGAATTAAACATTTCTGATTTTTCTCTAATTACATTTGAAGTATTAGTTACAGATGTACTATTTTCAGATATATCAGTCTCGATATTAGGTTTAATATTCATCTTCCATTTATCGACAAGAAATTCAATTAGGTCACATTTCACATTGCAATATTTGTTTGGTAATATTGACAAAGAAATCTGAAATATTACATGTATATAAAATTCGGAAAAAAGATTTTAATAGATAATTAAAAATAAAATCTAATTATTTCATTAAATTTAAAATATTACAACGTTCTGCTTATTTTATAAATGTTATGACATTATACTACGTTTGCTGATGAAGTTTATTTCTTGAAATATTACTTACAATGAGATGTGTTTCAGTCCTATCTATTATTGTTACTTCACATTCTTGTTCAACCAGTAAACAGTGTATTTTATCTAGGTCTTCTGTTATCCAAATTCCATCCTCGTTTCCCTATTAGAAAAATAAATCGATGCAATAATTTTAGAATATCTGATAGACGATACGTGAAAATTATTTAAGATATTTACTGGATTTAAACCATAGATTAAACATTTTGTGCATTGAATTGGAATATTTTCCAAAGCAACTTTCTTCTTCAAAACTTCAGTCGTACATTCTTCGACATTGCCGTAGTCTACAAATTCCACCTATAATAAGTATATTTCATATTAATGTGAGGTATTGTACACATATAGTTTTATAATTAAATAAATGGTTGAACTTTTACATCAATTATATCATTTTCTCGAATTTTTACTATTTTTCCACGGTACCATTTTTTATTTGCATGATATTGTACAATGCATAAATCTCCTTCAATCCATACACTATCGAAAGATTCATGCTCATAATTATTATACAGCTGTTCTAACTTCATTTCTATATATTGTATTTTTTTCATATCTGAAGAATATAATAAAAATATAGCAATAATTATTATTATACATTAAAAATGTATTAATAAATTGTAGGATTATTTTGAAAACTACATACTCTGGGTTTTAGAATGGATATATAAGAAACCATTTTCATCTAAATATGTCGGTGTTGCAATAAATTTATCTTCCTTTATTGGTTTTACTGGTAGCCAAGCCGACAATTTTGGAAGTGATGGAATGTTATTAAATATTTTTTCCATACTGTCATACTTTGAACTATCGGAATCAAAATCTGAATGATATAACAAATTCTGTGACATCACTTTTGTGATACTTGCTTTAGTAGAATCGTTGTGATCGTCATTGATTTTATACCATGTCACATTCGATTTGTATTTCGTTAATCTTTCTAACTTGTTTACTAATTGTCGTTTTAATTCAATCGCCAGAATTTTATCCCTTTTCTGTGCATATCTAAATATTTTTGCGAGTATGTCAATTAATTTACTAATAAAAAGTAATTATTATATATGCAATATGATTATATTTATATGTAACTATGATTGAAATGTAAAATGTATATTTAAATTATTACATACTCTTTAACGGGTAAAGCTACACCTTTCTCGACTAACATTCTGCTGATGGAATTAATTTCGTGTCTTGTCGGTGTTAATGGACCATCTATTTTTACTTGTTTAATCCATAATTCAACAGGTATCGCAGAATCTTTCACATCTTCGCCTTCCTATAAAATAGTAAACAAAATATATCACAATAAATAATAATCATAACTTGATGATGTTTTGTATCATATGGATCGTTAGTAATACATAATAACCAGTAATATTATTTCAGTTAAATGTAAAGTATTACCCGAATACTTACATTTATCGCGGCATGAAACGTAAAATATCAAATTTAATTTGCATAATGTTTGTATTGGCATAAGTAATAGAATAGTGACATAACGCTTACCAGTTTAGATATGTAGAATTTGCTGTTTTGGTTGTTATTTATAATTTCACGTAATTTCTCGCAAGATAACGATGGCCATGTACAGGACCCTCCACATGGGTATATACCAATTAGTTTTATTTTAAAAACATATCTTGGTATCTTGAAAAACGATGAATGTAATGACTGTATATTATTAATCGAAATAGTTTCTTCAATTCCTATGTCGTACAAAAATACGACTACTTTATCGGTAGACTTAATATCAACGATTTCGCCCCGATAATACATATTGCTCTTTTCAAAATAAACTACACAGACAGAGTTCTTGTTCCAAGAATCTCGTTTCGTGGAATAATACTGGCTATAAAATTTTTGCATTTCCTTCATCATTTGCTGTATGTCACTCTGATCACACGTAGCGTCAGAGACGTAAATGCAATCTGGAGACTGCACTTGGTGTATCAAAACGCATATTTTGAAGGGATCTTCACTCTCTTCTACGCCTTTGTCTTTCTTGTCCAAGTTTATTGGATCATTGTAAAGTTCATCAAATAATTCTATAGGATTAACATTCTTTTTAACCGTGCGTTTTTTGTTTCGGGATTCTGTATCGTAGGAACTGTATAATAAAAGAAAGAAAAAATAAGTATATAGTAATGTACAATAGCATTTTTTAATTTCTTTTTTTTAGTAAACGAATTAAAAATTGTATGGTCAATACTAGTAATATAATATAATAATTAACAAATAAGGGCTGAAAAAGGTGGTAATTAATGTTTTAAATACGTTATACTTGTTTAAAGTATTTACCCAGATTTGATGTGTAATGCCAGACCATTTTCTACCAAGAAATCAGCGACGTTAATTTGATTATCTAGAGTAAACATAGAAACATTGTATGTATTTTCAACTTTGTTGAAAGCGATAATTCTGAAGTTTTTGGTGTTCACTAGAAATTTTTTTAAAAATTCCGTTGTTTCCGGTTCCCACTGATTTTTAATGTTGGATTGTGGCATTATGTTTTTCAACGAAATCTTTATAGCCTAGTGAATAGATTAAAAGTTACTTTAAAAAGAATTACCTTTAGTATTAAAGAATATAAGTATGTAAATTATAAAATAGATTAATTACTTGTGTTCTACAACTCATGTACTTTGTATTGAGGGATCTAATAGCATCGTAACTTAATATCAATGTATATCCTAGGTCTACATAAAACACTTGTACAATATTTTCGGTAACTTCGCATATTATGCCTCTATGCCAAAGTCCGTCAACTCCCCGTGCAGCACAAGGTGAATCTGTGTAAAAGATAACACGTGTAATTAGTTTTTCGACCAATGAAATATTTGATAATACAATATGATGAAAGATTTGAAAAATTGTTTTTTAAAGTGACTTCTCTATCGAGAGTAATTAGATTACATATTTTATAGGGAAATGCATATGTATTGATACCTACATCTTTGTCTAGTGCTAGACTTTCATTTATTTGTAAGTGTGTAATTAATGTTGATAAGATTTGTAAATGGTTAATTGATGTTAATGAAATTTCTAAGTGTGTAATTAAATAAAGAAACTGAATCTCCTCAGGTGTTAAACATTGGATAAAAACAATTTAGATGATCTACCTTTGTAAGGCACAAGGATAGATTCAATAGCAGGTGTATTTCTTTCATAATCCTCTGTCATTTCGTGTATCAATTTGTTGAAGTATGATCTATTCGCGTGTGTCTGTAACAAACATGCATTTAATTTTTTTACATTTCTTACATTCTATTCTTACAGTTTTATATGTATATTTATCAAAGAAAAATATGTATTGGTTATAAAAGAGTATTAGTAAGTATCAACAACTTATTATATAAATAGTAATAATAACCAGTTTCTATTATAGCAGATGTACCTTTTGAATATATATAGAACTAGGAGATTCAACAAACAAAATTTGAACATCCGTGTAAGTGTCTATCTCTAACAGTTCTTTATAGTACTTTCTTGTAGAGTCAGGATTCGTTCTCTGCAAACAAGAGATCCATGATAAAATGTCTTGGATTAGAATTAAAATGCCTGAAGAACAATGAATCGCAATTACCATTAATCTATTTGGCGAAATACAAGTGGCATATTTCATATATGTTAATGAATCTTTCACGGATATTAAACCCGAGTCTTTCGAGGATATTACGTTCAGATCAACGTAATACGTGTCACCGGTTATCATCTTGATACATATCGAAACCATAGAATTTCTAAAACAGATTAATTTAAGTTTTAATGACAATAAAAAATCGTAGCATTAGATTGACGTTCAATGTACTTGAATCGTATATCGATTTAATTCTAAATATATATTAATTTATTCTTAATTTGTTATAATCAGAAAAAATATGCAAGAGTAAAATGATAATCAGAGATAAAGACACAACAACGAAGTGAAAAATATAATAGTGAAAATAAAAATAATGAAAAGGACTCAAAGTACAATAATAAGCAAATAAAATGAAATAAATCTCGAAATCACGAAGAACCTTCGATTGCAATATAACAATTCCAAATGTACAAGTCCTTTGTGAATCTACAATTATACTTACGTATAAACTAGATTTTTAAAAGCTTGAGTGGCGCCAGGGTGCCATTTACCATTATTTGGTACTATGTCAAATAACGAGCACCTAATGCCCATTACTGGTAATATCGCAAATTGCGGCACTATATTTCTCATTCTGATCAAAGGTACATTTTCTTCTTTCATACCGTAGTCGATTAATAACAAACTGTATTTCTCATCGCTATTTGGTTCCGTTTTCTTGTCTATCACACGTGCACGATACCAAGCTTTGTCTTTCGAGTATTGCGCGATGTACAATGCATCTAAGAAGAGAAATTCTTACATATATAAGACCATCCAGAAACGTAGCGATTATAGTGTTACATTATAAAAATATACTAGATTCCCTCTTAATTGTTCCCTTCGAATGGAATTACATCTCTAGCCGAATATTTGAATAATCAATATCGATTAATTAGAAGATATGTGTCAAATATCATTTGTCTCTTTGTAAATAAATTTACGATTCATTTTTTATTATTTATCGTTCACATATAAAATGTACAATATACAACGAACATGTACATAAACGTAATATTCATTGAATGTTTATTTAAACCAGAGTCCAGTAATTTTTATTTGCTTTCTCCATATATAGGTTCATTCTTTGGAGCTGAATCATACCACTGTTTACGCAAGAATTATATCAATGGTAGATGAATTATAATCCGTAGAATATGTCAGTTCTCTACTGAATCTCATAACGAGAAGTGGGATCGAGTAAGAGGGAGTTGGGAGTTGGTATTTCAAGTAAAGGATAAAACGAAGCACGTAATTTCATCAGATAAAAATGAAAAATGAAAATATATATATATATATATAAATATTTATAGCGTTAAATTAAAAATTGAATAGAAATTCCATTAACAAAATGGATACAATGGAACGTTTGAATGGAAATCGTACTTAAAGTGACTTCTGTTGGTATTGTTCCTGTAGTGTTAGCCAGAGTTGCCAGTTCCTTTGTAAGATTCGATAGTTTGTGCTGATTTTGCATCAATTGAACATAGAAACAAGAGGGGTCCACAACATGAGTGACGTGAACTATTTCCGAGAACCCTTGAAAAAAAAGGAAATAGGAGTTACATTGCGCTAAATGCTTCGAATCGATCAAATTTATCTTCCATTTTTAACATACGAAGGTAAAACGATGGCAACGTAAATTCGATAAAAAAGGTAAAGCTTTTTATTCGAAGAAAAGATTCGAGTGTCAACATTAGAACTACCAACTTCTACTAATTAATACTAATTAAAATAATTAAAATAATTAAAATAATTTGACAAAAATAACAAAAGTATATATATATATATATACACAACTTTCAACATCCTTTCGGCAATTAAGAATAAAAAGTCTGCAATTAATTATTTTGGCTGGTTTCGCAGTTCCAGTGTCGACAGTCTAGTTCAAGATGAATAATTTTCAACTTATTACTTATTCCCAAAGATTAACTACAACCACTGCACAAGGGCATTTGGAGGGAGCGATATCTATCGGCAGAAAAGAAATGGAACTTACCAACAGCAGGAAAATTATTGTCTTTCCGGGGATGTCTCGCCACCGACTTTTTCTCCGCCTTGACACGCTCTACGGAAGATGAAGATGTTTTTATCAACCAACTATCTATTTTACGATATAATTTATTTCTTAACGCGGAAGATCGATGTGGAAAAATGAACGTTACGCGAGGTGGTGATCTCTTCTGTCAGTGGTTCTATCTCATAGCTGTCCGGCAACATGTCTGTCCGTTGCAAGCTGAAGAACGAAGTTTCCGGTATGTGCACGTGGCAATGCTCTTCTATGGCCTCGATGATGCTGTTGTCGATGTCGTATCTGCAAAAAAGTTCCAAAAAGTTCGTCTCACTTTAGAAATTCTGCAGGAAAATTACGACAGTTGTACAGTGTTTGATATAGCTGCTTCCATCATGTAACTCGTTGCAGTTCTGTAGGTAAACAGGAGACTATAAGACAACAAAATTGTCTGTAATTCGACTGCATCTCAATTTCCAAATTTTATACCAAATTTGCCAAAACTTGAACCGAATCACTCCGGCTACTATGTGTTCGATAGAACTCGATTACTTTCCAATTAAAGAAGTTGAAGATCGCCATCTAAGGCAGTGTTCAAACACCCAAATATCGAAATGCACGCGTTTCTCTGGAAACTGGAAGTTCCACGAGAATTTCGTGCAAATTGGAACGCACGAACCTAATGGGATATTAAAAGGAAAAAAGAAAAGAGAGAAAGAGAGGTATCCAGATTTCATTCGAATTATCGGGTACAAGCTTCGAGGGCGAGGACCGAGAGAGCGATTTGCTTTAGTTCATCGAAACCCGAGGAGAAAATAAAATGCGACGTTCATCCGTGGTGGTTAAAACAAAAAAAGAAAAAAAAAAGGAGGAGAAAGAAGAAAAAAAAAAAAGAGATGGAGGAGGAGGGATATTCCGAAGCCGCTTTAAAACGCAACCAGTAGGTACATTTCGCTTTAATTAATTACTCTTACACCTCGAGTGCTCTCTCCGTTCTCTCCACCCTCTAACTCCGTTCGCCATCTCTGTCCTTCATTCTCTCTCCGTTTGGACATCTGTAAGCTGCTTACGAATATAAACGACAGAGGATTTGTCCGACTCTGCACCATCGTCGGTGTCGAGGAAAATAAATCGTTCAATATGCACCGGAGATTTTGATTTATCAAAAGCTTCCGGGATTTCGCTGTGCCGAAAAATCTCTGTTGCTCCGCGCAGGGGGGGTTGCGCGAGGGTTCCGGGAAGATTGTTAAGGGATCCGATTTTGTTGTTCGATCGTCTTAACGCCGGGATCGGGATAAATATCGCGCTGATCGATGACGACACGATTGGAAACGGAACGGAAACGAGCGTTGAACGAGCTCTGCTTTTTCTTATTTTCTTTCCGGCATGATCGATCGTCGTTGAGACAATAGCGTCGGTAATCGAGGTGAACGAAAGTGGATTTGCGGCCACTGATGTGATTATTATAATCGGTACAAGTAACTCCGATGAAGTAGAATGGAAATCTAGATTTTCATATTTTCCCACCTCCCTTCGAGGATTTTACGTTTTATCCAGCGCTGATTAGAGTGACTGTTTATTGTCAATGGGGAGTCGGGGAGAGATAGGGAATGAGAAATAGGGAGAAGATCAATGGGTAGTTTGAAAATTATTCGACACGTTCACTGATAAATGTATCTTGATAAATGTTTCGTAAAATTAATATTGAATAATGATATTAAATTGAATTATACTACGAATTGTAGTTATTTGATTATACTATAATAACGTGTTAATCGTTAGTGGCTAACAAAGTTTGGACGTAGAGATCAATGATGATCACCAGTGACCGCCATTATGGTGAACGTGTCGAAAACCATTTAAAAATTATTCAAAGCAATTTTTACCTTTACTTTTTGAACTAGAAGTATTTTTATTTTTCTTGGGACCAGTATTAATTATTATCATTCAAATGAAAAGTGGAAAGACAGAAGTTTGAACAACCATTTAAAAAACATAAAAAATTACTGGTCGCCAGTGACCGTCATTATGGTGAACGTGTCGAGAACCATTTAAAAATTATTCAAAGTAACTTTTATTTTAAAAAATTAAGGGGTATTTTTATTTTTACCTTTTGAACTAGGTGTATCTTTATTTTTCCTGGGACCAGTATTAATTATTATCATTCAAATGAAAAATGAAAAGAGGGAAGTTTGAAGAACCATTTAAAAATCATTAAAAATGACTTATTTTGTTGTCTAGACAGGATTAATTAATTATCATTGTACCAATGAAAAATGAAAAGTAGAGTGAAGATGAAGAACCATGTGAGGATTATTTAAGAATCGTTTAAGAGTCATCTAGAGTAATCTAATTTTCTATTTAGACAAGAATTAGTATTTTTGTTTTGTATTATTATACAAACGAATTTGTAGCACAGACTACATAGTCACAATTAAAGGGGTTGGCTTTTTGGGCAAAAACCGGTGCAATTACCGTGAAAGGGCCGATGTTGTACGATTCGGAGGAAGCAGACTTGGAAGTAAAATGAATTTCAATTTTCTGCATCTTGCGTGTTCCTCTGGCAACGATACCCGTTCTCTTTCCAAAGCTGCTTCCAGCTTCCTAGTGTACCAACAATTTTCAGAGATATTACTGTTAATTAAGGACTGAAAAACCGATTCTTCCGTTTTCCTGATTCTCTCTCTCTCTCTCTCTCTCTTTCTGGTCTTTTTTCGACTTAAAGTGCACGACAACGAACGTTGTAAACGAAATCGTGTAAGAAATAGAAATATTTAAGTAAACATCGAAGAATCAAAAATCTTTGAGAAAAATCGTAATTACACTGCAAAAGGAATTGTCAAAAATATTTCGAGTAATCGATTATTTGACGAACTTCACGGGTTTATGGGTCTGAACTATTTCCAGTCGAAATTTTTCATTTTGTTATAAACTTTTTAAAAGACATTAAGAATCTTCGTCGTTTCTTCGAGATGTCTAAGGAATAAAATATTGCTTACTTGATCTCCTGTTCGTCTGGTACAATATTTTGTATCAAATGACAAGGGATGTCGACCAGAGTCTGTAATTTTCGTATCACCTGTCGAATATCCACTTTGTCGAAATTTTCTGTGAGGGATGTGGATATCTGAAACAGATTTCGAGGGTACCAATCGATCACTCGATTTTACTACATTTATAATATTACTATACTAACTTAATATCATTCTAATACCTATATATTTCATTATAAATTTGTCCAAAATAAGCGTAATAAATATTTTTGTTAATAATACGAAATAACAAATAGTCTTCGTTATTATCAAAAATTATTTCCGAATTTTGTGCACGTTTAAATCACGCACGTGAATGAAAATTTGTCAAAAATATACTAAAGATCTTTGCTATGAATTTGTCAAAAAGAAAGTTATAAGTAAATGTAACATATATCGTAATAAAAATATATTTTGTTGGATCATGTTCGGCGAGGAAATTTTTTAACACCTTCTTTCTTCAAAATCACATAATCTCATAATCGAAATTCCATACTAATCGCGGAAAATCTCATTACGAGTGCAGATATTCCCGTTTATTGCGCACAGGTCAAACACAGTATGAATAAAAGCGACAAAACTTCCCCGTGGACCTAATAATTATACCAATCAAGTTGAAATTGCGGATGCAATAATGCATTGCCTAAAAACATAGATATAATTGAACCTAGAGAATAGAATGTACAAAACGTGATACCAATTGGAAACTGAAAAATAGGAAATACTTGGAGCAAATTGGAATTTGAAAATTGAATAAAGTACACGTTGTATCATAATGTATAATACACGTATAGGAGATGGAATTTAGGTTTGGGGTAGATACCACTCCAAATATTTTGTCTTCAAGAGAGAGGTTCATTAAGTACAATAGTTAATTCGATGCACTAGAGCGGAGCGCTTTTTACGAACTGTGTTGTCTCTTGTGGTTCCTGATGATAGGCTGGTGTCCTATGGTGTTGGCCAGGTGGTATCCCCGTGGTCGTCGTTATTGATAGGGTAGCAGGTAGAAGGATGACAAGGAAAGGAAGGGATGCGTTTCGTCCTGGGCCTGCTAGTGGACTCATTATAGTAAGGCTTTCTTCTAGCAAGCCCTGCCTTACAAGGAGAGTGCAAGTCCTTCGGGTCACCGATTTAGTTGGAACTTTGCAGGTTTGTAGATATTGTCATGCAGTTTCAGAAAATATATCATTATAGCGGTGACTGCTCAAAAGCTTTTGAGATATTTACGATTAAAATATTATTACTCCCTTAATTACAGCTTTATTTTCAGTAGTTTTTAATCGGAGTTGTAGCCTGACGGTAATAGTCGAGAATTTCTATGCTCGAAGACCGGGGTTCGATTCCGGTTCATGGTTAGTATTTTTTTTTCAATCTATTTTTTATTTTGTATTAATTTTTCGCCTATGAAAACATTGTGAATAAACAATTGTAAATAAAATTTCTTAATAAAGGAATTTATTTTTTCCCTCCCTTATGCCAGTATATATTTACTACTTAATAATAAGAATATTATGCAGGAAAAACACATTTTTATAGCAATCCTATCTACTAGTAACTAATTATTAAATTAAACATTGCATAAGAATGTTGCCTATAATTCCAACTTTGCTGCACAGCTATAAATGTTCACGAATTAATTACAAAAGCTTGGAAATTTATTAATTTTCTGCTGCCGAATTAATTTATTAAGGTGTATCATAAGCGCTTAACCAGAAGTGGTATCTAGTTCGAATAAAAATTTTACCGACTGCGATCAGCGCCATCTATGATTTGGGCTCAAAAATCGAAAAAGTAATAGGAATATAGAATAAGCAAGGAGGTCGTCGAAGGGCTGGTCACGTGGTAGACGAGGACAGAGAGGGGATAGAAAAGGATAAAATGGCTCCGGCAGTGAAAAATTATTAATTACTCAATTTCTGTAATTAATTTATGAACTTTTATAATTTCATTGCAAAGCTGGAACTTCAGGCTACATTCTTATATAATTTTCGTAAAGAATTTAACTCTAAATTGTTAGTTATTAATTTTTGTTTTATAGCGTCTATGATTTCGTAACGGCGACCATCACGATCTTCCGTGAAAATATTTTCAGTGGAAAATTCACTAATTACTCAATATCTGTGATTAATTTATGAACTTTTATAATTGCGTCGTAAAGGCAGACCCTTTAAGAACTTTCCAATATATTTTTCCATATAAATTTGTCCCTAATTAATTAATTATTAATTATTATTCTATGCAGTGTTTGAATTGTTGTCGAAGACGCCATTGGTTTTTCATTAATTACTATCCTGAACGCAATTAATTTATGAAACTTTAAGCACTCGTTAGAAAAACAATGTTCTTGCGAATCTTCTCATATAACTTTTGATCACATTTTGCTTCTAATTTCGTTTAGTATTAAATATTTTCACGGAAGATCGTGATGGTCGCCGTTACGAAATCATAGACGCTATAAAACAAAAATTAATAACTAACAATTTAGAGTTAAATTCTTTACGAAAATTATATAAGAATGTAGCCTGAAGTTCCAGCTTTGCAATGAAATTATAAAAGTTCATAAATTAATTACAGAAATTGAGTAATTAATAATTTTTCACTGCCGGAGCCATTTTATCCTTTTCTATCCCCTCTCTGTCCTCGTCTACCACGTGACCAGCCCTTCGACGACCTCCTTGCTTATTCTATATTCCTATTACTTTTTCGATTTTTGAGCCCAAATCATAGATGGCGCTGATCGCAGTCGGTAAAATTTTTATTCGAACTAGATACCACTTCTGGTTAAGCGCTTATGATACACCTTAATAAATTAATTCGGCAGCAGAAAATTAATAAATTTCCAAGCTTTTGTAATTAATTCGTGAACATTTATAGCTGTGCAGCAAAGTTGGAATTATAGGCAACATTCTTATGCAATGTTTAATTTAATAATTAGTTACTAGTAGATAGGATTGCTATAAAAAAGTGTTTTTCTTGCATAATATTCTTATTATTAAGTAGTAAATATATACTGGCATAAGAGAGGGAAAAAATAAATTCTTTTATTAAGAAATTTTATTTACAATTGTTTATTCATAATGTTTTCATAGGCGAAAAATTAATACAAAATAAAAAATAGATTGAAAAAAAACTACTAACCATGAACCGGAATCGAACCCCGGTCTTCGAACATAGAAATTCTCGACTATCACCGTCAGGCTACAACTCCTATTAAAAACTACTGAAAATAAAGCTGTAATTAAGGGAGTAATAATACTTTAATCGTAAATATCTCAAAAGCTTTTGAGCAGTCACCGCTATAATGATATATTTTCTAAAACTGCATGACGATAGCTACAAACCTGCAAAGTTTCAACTAAATCGGTGACCCGAAGGACTTGCACTCTCCTTGTTAGATAGGGATACCTAGGTGGCATAGAAACTTCTATTTAACATGTTAAGTGCCACGCCGGTCCCCAGGGTCCGGCGCTAGACTTTCCGTTCGGGCCCGGCCGGTCCCTCAGGGACCGGTCCAACCTAGGATCAAAAGGTGCAAACTTTTGGTGTTAAATTTTTCGCCATCTTCGGACCTAACGTTTGGACATTCCTGTTATAACAATTGGTACAGTATTTCCGAGTTTTGTGAATACTTCGCCCGCTGCTGGGCCTGTCAGTCTGGGCCTGAATGGAACGGCAAGCAAAACAAGCTGGCCACTTAACGTATTAAGGGACGTTGAGAATTCACCGAGGACTTGCGGGAAAAAATTTTATGCTTTTTAGTACTTATATCTGTCACATATATATCATATTTCTATTATACTTAAACATACATTTCCTTCGTTCGTTTCATTCTTAATAGTAGACAGGAAGACTTCAAATTTGATAATTTATTACTAATTTTCAGAGAGTTAAAAATTTAGTTAATTTTTACTACTTATTCCTGTTTAAAATATTTGTAAAATTGAACGCAGATTTTTCTTTTTTCGATGACTGACAGAAAAGTTGGAAATTTTGTAATTCTTACCACAAGTGCAGACTGAAGTCGTTCCTCGTGTTTGTTCAGTTGCGTTAAAATCTCTTCGATGTTCTTGCCCTGGGCATTCTGATGCTCCCGCAACGAGTTAATGATCCTTCTCTCCGTGTTCTGAAGAACACCGTGCAAATAGGTGAAATGCTGTGTGACGATCATCTCCATATTATCGACATTTTGATTTAGTCCTAGATCTTGCGTCGATAAATGCTGCAATCTCTGAAAAATAAAGGTAAAAGCATTATATTACTATTAATATCAGTGAAATTAATATAAGCGAAATTTCATCGATCCTCAACTAGTATCGCCAGTTCACACGTCTAGTTTATTAGCTAAACTGATTGATTTCAGAACACGGAAAAATGAAATTTATTTCAATTATAAAAATTTCAGTATCGACCGAGTGTTTTGGTTCTAAAATTTTAAAAAATTCAGAAAACTGATCACTTTGATCCATGGAATGGCTTATCCAATATTTCCAGGATAATCAGAACCACCACAGGGTTCTCTAAGAATCGAATGACGAAGACTTTTCGATCCCAGGATCGAAAGGAAGACCATTAAGAAGCAAATACTCGTGCACTCGAGTTCAAGGTGCAAGTATCAAAGAAAATTTCGCAAGAATCGAATAATAAGGAATCCTTGACACCCTTCTCGATGTCAAGACCGGAACAAAGGCCACCCTGACGGGAACCAAAGACTCGTTTACTCAAATTCAAAGTCCGGCCATAAAGGAGCATACTAATTGCTGAAAAAGTACACAGCGAGAACTTGCGTGGAAGGATCGTCTAAGAGGAGACCTTACAATCGGGCATCAAAGTTCCGGGCTTCGAGCAGACGACTTTAAAAAAGTCTCCCTTAAAGAATTTCAATTTCTTCGCTCAACCGCCATAAAGTTTCCCAATAAACCCCTGAATAAGCTGCCGTAAAATTTGGAAAACCGAGCCTGGGCCATTAAATTCGGTGGTATTAAAGGTTCAGAACAGGCCAGCATCTGGCATCCCGACAAGAGTCGTTGGCAGACATAGCAGATCTGTCGATACAGGGAATTCTACGATTTAACTGGACCACTGTCACCGGACCATGGCGAAGGATTCAATAAAACGTCACCGTGTTCGTCCAAGTCAGACGACCAGGTACTCGATGGTGAGCCGAAATAAAAATAGAGAAATCGCTTCATAACGTGCTCCCGTGGAATTATACGAGCCTGATGCAATACGCTGATTGATATTCGACCGGTCGTTTGGGTTCGCGTGTTAAGAAATCGAGACATCTTTGGCAACCGAGTGAAACGGCCCTCGAGTACCCTCGAGCCAAGAATTCGTTGATTGCGGATGCTTGGAGTTCGTAAATCGTGCTCCAGGCATTTAGGTGTGATTCTTAGCGAAGAGAAGAGTTTGGAGTTCGGTACTGACAGTTCCACTCCTTGGTACCATTCGAATCGAAAATATTCTTGGTACACGGGGTCTTGAGAGGCGACCCTTAGTCGCCATTTAACCCTTTGCACTCGAGAGGTGAGCTTCAGTCACCATTTCATAAAATTTGCAAAATCGATATTAATTAATATGTTAAATTTAACGTAACGTAACGGAGTGTGCGAGGTATCGAAATCAAATAATTCTACAATTCTATTATTATACAATTTCTTATTTACTGCTCAAAAAAGTATCGTCAGTTTTTTAGTAGAGAATCTTTGAATTTCTACTCCTCTCTAGCCAAAAAATCGTCGAGTGCAAAGGGTTAATCGGATTCTAAAGATGGATATTAATTAATATATCAAATTTAAAATTACTCAACGATGCATGTAATGTCGAAGTAAAATAATTCTTCGTCTTAATTTGTATACTGTTTATTATTTAATGGTTTAAAAATATCGTCGACTTTATGGCAGAATGTCTTCGAATTAATTTTAACATTCTCTCAAGATCGCAATTGTTGTATTTCTGTGATCATAGGAAAGGACAAATTCGAAACGAGATATTTAATTTAATATTTGATATATTTAATATGTTGATAATTCGAGATATCTGGTAAGAAGAGTATCGGTATGAGAGTTTTATTTAATGGCGCCAATTATGGGGTGATATGAATTTTATTCACCTGTGTCAATTTTGTAGATGGAATAATATAATTGAAACGAGAAATTTCATTTAATATTTAATACAGTCAATATGGTATTAGCGATGTTGATAAGATGGGGTGTCTCATGGTAGAATTACAGGTATTAGAATTTTATTCAATGGTGTCCATTGTCGGAAAGCCTATAATATATAAAAATATTTTGACATGTAGGTATCATAGAAATTTATCCCATAGAGGTGAAAATGAAGATTTAATTTATAAAACTTGTATAAATTATCAAATTTGTTATTAATAACAAATTAATATTGTTAATAATAAATTGTTCACAACGTAAATTTACAATAAAAGTGAAAAAAATTCATAAATTATTGGCAAATTACTTGAACTTATAATGTATTTATGTTAAAATGTATCTATAATTTACAAAAAGTTTATAAATTATTACACCCATTATTAAAAACAAATTAATATTGTTAATAACAAATTGTCGGCAATGTAAATTTATAATAAATGTAAAAAAATTAATCAATTATAGGCTATTAACGCGGAAAAATAATAATTAAAGGAATTGTAAAGTTAGAAAATTTCCGATCGGGGTGGGGGATTCGGCCGATCGGAGGCTATATAAGGAGCGTCGCGTCGCAGCAGAACTCATTTGTCGGTTTGACTTCGGAAGTGTAACATCTAAATTTTCTGAGTGCGCGAAAGGGTGGGGGTCCGAAGTGAGGTTGGGGTTGGCTAC